TATTTATTTATTTATTTCTGTTTTGAGTCTGTCTGTTGAAAGATGAGACCAGGGCACAATTCCCTAATTTACTAAATCGACTGGCAGTTTAGTGTGTCAAACTATGTATCTATCCAGTTGTTTATCCAATTCTGAATAGGCTAGCACCTGGCATGAGTCAACTGTCCTTATCATCAGCTTTATGTGGCTTGAATTGGCTGATTGTTATTTGACCCCGAAATTCAATTCAGAGAATGGATCTCATTCAGATAGCACCTGAGTCACCTCCTGTCTTCCCGTTTTACTTTTGTGGTTGTTAGTGAAGGTAACAAAACCTGTCATAATTCACTGAGTATTTGTGTTTTTACTTTGCTTTGTGGTAAGCCCCTTCTTTTTTTCCCACAAACTTGTTTTATGTGTGTTTTCTGGAGGAATTAAATGTTTCCTAATCAGAAGAAAACCCTCAAGATTGAGAGGAATATTAAAACCATCAATCCTAGCCATGCAGAGTGGTTCATGCCTATAATAATCCCAGCACTTGGAAAGCTGAGGCAAGAGGATCAAGAGTTTGAGGCCAACCTGGACTACATAATGATACCCTGTCTCAGAAAACAAACGAATGAATGAGATCATCAATTAAATAATTCTCCCATGCTCTGGTCTCCTTTAATTGTCTTCATGAGCTGTTTTTATTAAACATCTCCAATGAAGGGGAGCAGATTCCTTCCCAAAACACTCTATCTACCATCACTAACTGCAGTGGCAAGACTGGGGCAGAAAGGAGAGAGTGATGGAGAAAGAGACGAAGGAGGAAAGAGAGGGAGAAAAAGATTAGAAGGAGGAGGGAGGAGCAAGGGGAAAAGCAGTACCACACATTGAGCACATTCTCTGGGCTTAGCTCTGCTAAACAAGATTTACAAGACATATTGTGCGATGTGTTGGACTTAAAGTTCTTGGAGACAAGCAGCGTGTGTGAGCAGAGTTAACACAGCAGCACATTAGTAGAGCCTGCACTGCTAGTTTTTCAACAATTCCCTAAAAATGTCCTCACTTCTTTTTTTTGTTTTTTGAGACAGAGTTTCACTGTAGCTTGGGCCGCAATCCCTTTGCCTCTGCCTCCTGAGTGCTAAGAGTACAGGTGTGTACCACCACACTTGACTGATTTCCTCATTTCTGCTCGGGGGATAGGGAAAGAAACTGACTGCAGGCTAGCAGAGGTCAGTATCATCCACATCTCTGTTGTCCTTGGAAACCTCAGCACTGCTCCTCCCGTCAAGGTTATCTAGCTTGCGGTTGTTCAGGTATTTTTGTAGTTGAGCAGGAACGTGAATCCAGCTTGTTTAGCGAAACAAGCTCTTAACCAGGTTCACTGTCTTTCTACTTATGTCTCTCCTGTGTTTTACTTGGCTTCTCCATTGGAGTCTCTGTGCTGCATTCAGGTGGTGAAGCAGTCCTGTAGCAGCAATGTAATGGCCTGGTAGAGAGGGAGAGGTAACTCTGTTCACATTCTCAAAAAAGTGCTCTTGTAAATTTTTTTTTGGTGATACTGGGGCCTTCTGTTTGCTAAGCAAGCATTCTACCTCTTGAACTACATCTCCAGCCCTTTTTGCTTTAGGTTATGTTTTAGGTAGGGTCTTGCTTTTTTGCATGGGGCTGGCCTTAGAGCCTCCTACCTAGGCCTCCTTGTGGGTGGGATGACACATGCTCACCACCACACCCAGTTTATTGGTTAAGATGAGGCCTCCAGCACAGCTGGGATTACAGACTTAAACCACCACACCCAGTTCATTCTAATGATATTTTTTTGGCAGTGATGGCACTGGGGTTTGAACTCAGAGTCTTGCATTTGCTAAGCACGCACTCTATCACTTGACACACATGCCCAGATCGCTTATAATTTTTAAGGTGATAGATTATCCTGAAAAATTTAAGATTATAAAGAAAGAACATAAAACTAGCGTCATGAAAGCAAGCCCAGGAGGTAATATAGAAGGCTGTCAGAGAGAGTACAACTCTTTATGAATCACAGCCTCACCAATGAAGTAGACCACGCTCTCCCCTGAAGTTAAAACTGGGATCCAAGGTTGCTTTGCAGAAACTTGCCTCTTCTTACTTCTGTCAGATCACATGAGCCAGCCTTCGTAGCCAGGTCCCAGGAGAGGCAGTGGTAGTTTCTAGATCCATGGTGAGCCTAAATCTGGTCACTGACACTTCCTAGCTGATAGGATGGGTAGCTATTTAGAGTGCACTTGCATCTGTAGAAACAGTACTCGCCACACAGGGTTGTGGTGATGATTACATGAGCTCTTAGAAGACTACGAGGGATGTCACAGCACCATCGTTAGCAGCAACATTCAAGTTTGGCTGTGTTCTGTCATAACTAAAACCCTTTCTCTGAGACCTCACATATGTTTTTCACAGTGGGTGGAGAAGCCCTCTCTTGACTCCTTTCCCATGCTCAAGTCTGAACCACCAGATGTTGGGCATCCTCTGGGCACCAGGATACCTAGGGAACAGAGATTCCAGGTGACTTATAGAAGTCACTTAGAATGTTGGAGCTAGTACTCCACAGGGTGGTCCCTAAGATACTGGATCAGTTTTAAAGTGGGATCACATACGGGAGGTATGGGGATAGGTAGGAAACCCAAACCATGAAAGTGTTTGATGTCCCCACTGCAGAGGAACTGATACAGAAACCTTAAAGCGACAGAGGTCAATATGGGAAGGGGATCAGGAACTAGTGAGAAGGTCAGGTAGAGATGAACCAGTTTGGGTTGTAACACATTTGCACATGGAAGCAATGCTAGGAATCTCTCTGTATAGCTATCCTTATCTCAACTAGCAAAAACACTTTGTCTTTCTTATTGCTTATGTCTTTTCTTCAACAAAATTAAAGATAAGGGCAGACAGGTTCTGCCTGGAAGTAAGGGGGGTGGGAGGGAGAGGGAGGTGACAGCAGGGAGGGGGAAGGCATGGGGGGTTAGAAATGGCCCAAACAATGTATGCACATGTGAATAAATGAACAAAAAATTTAAAAAGAAAAAAAACAGAGACCTACTTTCAGATGATGTATTACTTGTTCATTCTGCATTCCAACGATTAAATCTCTTGGTGACAAATATAATTGTAAAAAATAAAAAAAAATAAAACTTGATCAGTGAATTGTCACAGTTGGTGTGAAAAAGGTGGCAGGAACATCTTAATTACTCAATTCCAAGAACACACAAATGCAGGATACTTCAAAGAAAACTTGGATTTGATTCCGATGGCCCTTCAAAGTAAGGGCAATTCTTTAGTAAAACTTCAGTAATGTCTGAAGCTCTGAATAGCTAGTGATTTCCCAATCTGCTCATTTATATGGTTGTTATAAATGCTAGGCATATCCAACACTTATCCCATTTTACAGATGATAAACTGTGTCTCAGAGAAGTACAACAAGTTTTCAAAGTCTGACTCATAAAGCAGAATCCTTGGCTTTATTTAAGATTCTCTGCCTTCTCACAGCAACTGCCTCGTTGTGATACCCACACAGTGTGTTCTGTACCGGCAGGTAGGTTTTCTCATCTTTCCTCTTCTCCCCTCTTACAGCCTGGGCCCTCCCTAACTTCCTCAAGGGAGTACAGCTCTAAGACCAGTGGGTAAAGTGGGCTTAGCCTCAGACCCTGCTGTGGCCACAGCAGTGTTTGAAAGGAGCTCTGTGGTGGGGTGAATGATAGTCACCAAGATGGGACTAAAGAGGAGATGTGAGATTCCTTCAATCCCTCAAAAGAGCCCAAAGCATCCTACACTCACAGTGTCTTGCACAAACTGCCTTAAGCCACTTGCCTGGTTCTGCCTGATTTACTGCAGTTTTGCTTTTTTTTTTCTTTTTTTGTGGTACTAGGGCTTGAACTCAGAGCCTACACCTTGAACCACTCCACCAGCCCTTTTCTGTGATGGTTTTTTCCAAGATAGGGTTTCACAAAGTATTTGCCCCACGTTGAATCCAAACTGTGATCTTCCTGATCTCTGCCTTCTGAGTAGCTAGGATTAGGATTACAGGTGTGAGCTACTGGCGCTCAGAAGATAAAATGTTTTTAATGATTCTTATTTTATGTACTTAACACTGTAAGAGAAGGTATACCTGCCTCTGGGTTACAACTCATAGGGAATGACCTCAGAATCAGAAAATCTCAAACCTCACATTTGGACTGGGGTGTGGCTCAAGTGTTAAAGTGCCTGCTTTGCAAGCACGAAGCCTTGAGTTCAAACCTCAGTTCTACAAAACAAAACAAAAAAAAATAAAAACAACTCATGGGACCTTGATCCTCTCTCTCCTTTTCTCTCTCCCTCTTCCTCTCTCCTTCCTTTCTCTGACTCTCTCTCTCTGTCTCTGTCTCTCCCCCCAGTACTGCCATGGAAACAAAACAGAAATAAGAACCTCCCAACTCACTGAGAAACTGGGAAAGCAAAATAAAATTGATCTGATAAGGGCCATTTCCCTGACACTAAACAGTGCTTGAGGTGGGTCGGAGGGTTCTTTGTCTCAATGCTTGGTTCTCAGAGTTCATAAGCACACCCCCCCACACACACCCAGTGCACCCCTCATCTTCCTCTCTGTTCCACTTCCTTTTTTAGGTCTTCTTGTCTTCCTTTCTGTAAGTCCCCAGATCACCACAGTATACTCAGGAAGGGCATGCAGTGAGTGAGTTTCCTTCTCTTGTTCTCCCTCCCTTTGTATCCTTTCTCTCTTTTCTGTTTCTGTTGTCCCTAAAGACTGCCATTGCTCCAGATGAAATGAACATACATGGTAGGGGAAGAAGGGGAGTTTAGTCACACATTCTTATTCCAAATTCTTTTCCTTCCTCTTTTAGGCCTTGAAACAAAAAGATGGTCTCTCTCCACTCAAATAAAAATCTTTCCAAAAACCAGAGTGGGAAATACAAATCATTCGCTGTCTGTCTGTGCTCTCCATGTACCTGGAACCTTCTAGATTTTGTGTATTTTATCACTGTGTGTTCTGCTTTAGGGAAAGCTGAAATATGGTAATCCTGTCCAGGGAAAACCAAACAATGGTAGTGGGATTTGTGCTTCAAGGATTCTCTTCCATCCTACTGCTAAATATTTTCCTCTTTATGATATTTTTTGTGCTCTACATTTTAACTATTTCTGGAAATATCCTTATTGTTCTCCTCATTGTTTTCAATCATCCCCTCCACACTCCCATGTACTTCTTCCTGGTGAACTTGTCCTTTCTGGAGGTCTGCTACACATCCAACATCGTCCCCAAGATGTTGCTGATTATCATAGCTGAACAGAAGACTATCTCTGTGGCTGGCTGCCTGGCACAGTTCTACTTCTTCGGATCTCTGGCGGCAACAGAGTGTCTCTTGCTTACTGTGATGTCCTATGACCGCTACCTGGCCATCTGCCAACCTCTTCGCTACCCCATCCTCATGACTGGCTCTCTCTGCATCAGGTTAGCTACTGGTTCTTGGCTCTGTTGCTTCCTCCTTACAGCAATCACCATGGTCCTGCTGTGTAGACTAACCTTCTGTGGACGTAATGAAATCGATCACTTCTTTTGTGACTTCACTCCTCTGATCCATCTCTCCTGCAAAGACACCTCACTGACTGAGACCATTGCCTTAGCGACCTCTTCTGCAGTCACTCTGGTCCCATTTTTCCTTATCACAGCCTCCTACTCCTGCATCCTCACTGCTATCTTAAGAATCTCATCTGGCACAGGCCGGAGAAAGGCCTTCTCCACCTGCTCTTCCCATCTCACTGTGGTCACAGTGTTTTATGGGACACTGATTGCCACATACCTGGTGCCTTCTGCCAACTCTTCCCAATGTTTGCGCAAAGGGTTCTCTCTGCTCTACACTGTCCTGACACCCATGTTCAACCCCATCATATACAGTCTGAGAAACAGAGACATCTATGAAGCTCTAAAGAAGTTATTGAGAAAAAAGCCAGGTTTCCTCAGATGATGTGAAAAGGAAAAGAGCTGTATCAGTTGACCAGCTGCTTTTGAGAGTGGTCACAGACACTGCTGAGTTCCAATAGTCTCAAGTAAACTAATGTCCTGGGTGTATATGTTTCTAAGTAAGTCAGACTCTGTACCATCATCTCCAGCAGTCTCGGATTCTTTGTCAAAAGACTATAGTTAAAGTGAACTGATAAGTTTGCTCACTCACTCGTTCATATATTCAGCAGGAACCTCCTACTATGTTGAAGGCACTATGCTGGACAAAAATGGTAAGATGATGAACAAAGGCTGGGATGTAGCTCAGTGGTAGAGCGCTTGCCTGGCATGCATGAGGCCCTGGGTTTGATCCCAGCACCAAAAAAAAAAAAAAGACCAAAACTATGGAGACAATATAAAGATCAGTGGTTCCAGGTGTTAGCAGGGAGGGTGGGATGAATAAGAAGAATACAGAGGAATTTCAGGGTGGTGAAACTACTTTGTATGATATTATAAGAGTGATATGTGTCATTGTGTATTTGTCCAGATCCACAGAATGAATATACAATGCCAAGAATGAATGCTAATTTGGACATTGGATGATAAGTTCATTGGTTATAACAATTGTGCTACTTGGGTGTAGGATTTTGATGGTGGAAAGGCTGTGTGTTTATAGGGTCAGAGAATATGTGGGAATTCTTTACACTTTCTATACAATTGCACCGTGAACCTAAAATTTCTCTAAAATTAAATTTGTCGTTAAGACAATTGTTATGTTGATTGTACATCAAGAATGTGCTCTTCCTACAGGTCACAGCCTGGAATCCTGTTACAAAGACTCAGGGTTTTTGTGGTCAGCAAACCACTGCCATCTGGGAGAAATATTTCCCCACTATTCCTTTTTCAGAAAGCCACAACTCCCTGCCTTCAAATAGGGAAGAGAAGATTTGGGTTAGAATCAGTTTCCTATTTCCATTAAGACATGAAAAATTGAAACACAAAGCCTGGGAGCTCCTTCCAAATTAATGAGGTCTGTAAGACTGGAGAAGTCCTACATTGTCAATAAATCCCAAACACTAACAAAAAAATCAAGAAGTCTGACCACCTGAGCCAGTGATTTTCTAGCCTTAGAGTTGGGCAAAATTACCTAAGAAGTCACCAAAAAAGGAGGGAGGGTAAGCAGTCTCTGAGCCCTACCCATGTGGTCTCTGAACAGTTCTGCTTTTTCTATCTTATTTATTGCTGTTCCATTTAAAACTTCATTTGAATAGACTTCTGCTCTTATATATGCCCACAAAATAAAACTAAAACTTTCTTTTCTTTATAGCTTCCCTTGTTTCTTTGCTGGAAAATATATACAAAACAAGACCCTGAAAAGCCAAAGATAGTTGGTGTGCTCTAGATAAGAGGAGAATAAGGAGGGCATTTGGAGAAGGCTACAGCTCCTCGGATGAACAGCTTCTGTAGATGACGCTTTAAATAATAGCTACCAGCACTATAACAACACTGCAATCTTTACAATTTTACTTTTAATTGAAGCATAATAATTATACCCATTTGTGGAGTACAGTGTGACAATTTGATACATGTACACAATGTGCGATGAACAAATCAGGCTAATTAGCATTTCCCTCTCCTTAAATATCATTTCTTTGTGTTGGAAGCCTATGAATTTCTCTATTGTAGTTCCTTATAAAATATAAGTTGTTGTAAACTACTATCAGCCTACTGTGCAATAGAACACTAGAACTTTTTTCTCCTAATTATCATATTTTGATATTCATTGTCTAGCCTCCCTCTGTTCTCCCATCCACCCTAGCCTCTTGTAATCACTATTCTACTCTCTTCTTCTATGAGATCAACTTGTTTAGCTTCCTCATATAAGTAAAACCATGCAGTACTTGATTTTCTGTACCTGATTTATTTCACTTAACATAACGTTCTGTGATTCCATCCGTGTTGCTGCAAAAGACAAAATTTCTTTATTTTTATAGGTGAATAATATTCCATTGTGTATATATACCACATTTTCTTTATCTGCTCCTCTGCTGATGGACATCTTGATTGACTGGAAAAAGGACAACCTCTTTAAGAAGTGGTGCTAGGAAAACTGGATATCCATATGCAGAAAAATGAAACTAGACCCCTATCACTCACCATATACAAAAATAAAGTAAAAATAGATCAAAGACCTAAATGTAAGACATGTAAACATCTGACAAGAAATTATAGGAGCCGGGTACCAGAGGTGTATGCCTGCAATCCTAGCTAATCAGGAGGATCACAGTTTGAAGCTAGCCCTGGGCAAATAGTTTGGGAAACCCTATCTTGAAAAAAACCTATTTTGAAAAAGGGCTGGCAGAGTGGCTCAAGTGGTAGAGTGCCTGCCTAGCAAGAGTAAAGCCTGAGTTCAAACCCCAATGCCACCAAAAAACCCTGTTATGAGTAATGCTTCAAGACATTGGTATATGTGATTTTAGACAAGATCCCAAAAGCACAGGGAAAAAATAGAAAATTTTTAAAGTAAGAAGCTTCTGCAAAGGAAACAACAAAGTAAAGACACAATCTATAGAATGGGAGAAATGTTTGAAAACTATTCCTCTAACACAGGTTTAACATCTAGAATATATGACAAAATTGAAAATCTCCCAAACAAAAACCAAATATTTTATTTAAAAGTGGACAAGTAATCTGAATAGACATTTGACAACAGAAGGCATACAAACGGCCAGCAGCCAATGAAAAAAATGTTCAACATCACTAATCAGGGAAATGCAAATTTCAATTACAATGATATGTCATCTCTTACAGTCAGAATGACTATTCTCAAAAAAGGCAAAAAATAAATTCTTAAGGGGATACAGAGAAAAGGGAACTTATAAACTGTTGGTAGTAATGTAAATTAGTCATAGTATGCTATTTTTTAAAAACTAAAAATAGAGCTACCATATATCCAGCTATCCTATTTTGGGGTAGATATCCAAAGGAAATGACATCGGCATGTCAAAGAAATATCTGCATGCCCATGTTTATTATGGCATTATTTGCAATAGCCAAAATATATGAAATCAGATCTGTATTTTTTAAAACTCCTGAATGCCAGTCACGCATGCAAGTTCAGTCTAAAAGCAACAATTGCCAATGACTTTGCCTGGCTTATCAAGGATGTCTGTCCCTATGGGACACTGGATACTCCCAGTTAGTACTGACCCACTTTGACATATCTGGTCTTCAGACTCAGTTGTGGGTTGCCCTGCACAAAAAGCCCTGCACAAATGGACAGATTCCTTTCTGATGACAAAAGGTGAGAATGCTACATTCTATAAGTTGCTCTTTCTTGTTCCATGGCTATGCACTCTTTTGGTGATGGATGGGGAAGAGATACAGATGTACTGTCAAAGCTGGATTGGGGGGTACAGGAGGGAGATTTCAGAGCCACTGATGTCATCACAAGAATTAGTTGTGTTTCTTGAGAGACCTGTACTTTGCTTTCTTTGAGTTCAGTCAAGATGGCATGAAAGCCCATCCAACTTGAGCTACAATATCATCGAGTCTTAGTGGTTTCTTTCTAGTCTGACTCACTTGAGTTCAAAGAAAATAGAACTTTCAGAGTCACAACTTTCATGCTGAAATTGAGCCTTCAGGACAAGGGGAAAATTTCTTGTGCCTTCTTTTGGGGTCTGCCTTTCCTCTAAGCACTAAGCGAGTGGTGGACTATGATATCTGCTTATTTCTTATGGAGCTGAGGTCAAGGGCGAGTCTCTTTATCCACTTTAGGTCTTAGGCTCCAAATTTGGAAAATAATCAGAAATCTTGCCTAGGTGCTTTCTAAGGAATAACTGATGGTAATGAGCAACACTACCTTTCACTTTGGACTCTACAAAACTTCAACATTTGGTCCTCATTTGGCTATGAATTAGAAATGACCCCCATGGCACAGATGAAGAAACTAATGCTCAGAAATGTGAAATGACTTTCTCAAAGTATTTTTGTGAATGACTTCTGGCTTCCAACCCTCTGTTATTTCCATTACATCGTACTCTTAGTTTTAAGATTTCATAATTCAGTATTTATCTTCTGGGTAGATTTCTTTTTTATTAGAGCTACAATACCAATAGCCTCTGGGGCTTAACCCAGTGTGGCACAGATACAAGCTTACATTCATGGTAGCCTTCTACTGGCACAATTGTCTGTGATAAGTTATAGATATTTGATTTAGGCCCTAAGAATGACATAGGCTCTCAAAAATATATGTCTCATCCTTAAGACCCAGATTTTAATTAATTTCTCATTATGAATTTTTTAAAAATACTAGTTATATTCAGTAAGGGAAATGTTAGAATTTTAAGCACTTGTATAAGATGCAACTTATAAGAGTAATCAATTTGTATGAATAATTTGCTTTTTAAAATAATGTTCAATTGCCATACCTGCAATCCCAGCTACTCCAGAAGCAGAGACAGGAGGATCATGGTTCAAGACCAGCCTAGGCAAAAGTTAGGGAGACCCTATCAAAAGAAGGAAAAAAACAAAGCAAAAAGATTAGTGGCTCAAGTAGTAGAGTACCTACACAGCAAGGTGAGCTCCTGAGTTTAATCCCTGGTATTGCACACACACACAAAATTGTTCTATTATATTCACTTCAAAACTTTACCCTTATAATGTGCTATAAGTTAAATTTATTCTCCCATCTGAAACTCCTAATCTTGCAATTTTCATAAGCCTCTTAAACTCCAATATTCTTGTTTCCTTTGCGATTTGCTCAAACAAGCTTCTGTGTTCTCCTCATATTTCAGTAGTGACTGTTTTCTAATGATAAAAGCATAAAATGTAACTTACAAGACTCATTCATCTAAAAGGATCAGGAGGAAAAATGGCCTAAGTGGTCCATTTCCTTCAACATATCCACATGTGTTTTGTCCATTCAGGATGTCATTTGGCGGGTACTACTGAACGATAATGAACATCAATGATTTACACTCCCAAACTTAAGCCAAGTTCAACTCTCTTAAATTCCAGGTTCCA